AACGCAGTGGATGTAGTCTACCTTGATTTCAGCAAGGCATTTGACAAGGTGCCCCATGATATTCTTGTAAAGAAGCTGGTAAAATGCGGTCTTGACTATGCTACCACTCAGTGGATTTGTAACTGGCTGACTGACCGAACCCAAAGGGTGCTCATCAATGGTTCCTCTTCATCCTGGAGAAGAGTGACTAGTGGGGTGCCACAGGGTTCTGTCTTGGGCCCGGTCTTATTCAACATCTTTATCAACGACTTGGATGATGGACTCAAGGGCATCCTGATCAAATTTGCAGATGACACCAAACTGGGAGGGGTGGCTAACACCCCAGAGGACAGGATCACACTTCAAAACGACCTTGACAGATTAGAGAACTGGGCCAAAACAAACAAGATGAATTTTAACAGGGAGAAATGTAAAGTATTGCACTTGGGCAAAAAAAATGAGAGGCACAAATACAAGATGGGTGACACCTGGCTTGAGAGCAGTACATGTGAAAAGGATCTAGGAGTCTTGGTTGACCACAAACTTGACATGAGCCAACAGTGTGACGCGGCAGCTAAAAAAGCCAATGCAATTCTGGGCCTCATCAATAGGAGTATAGCATCTAGATCAAGGGAAGTAATAGTGCCACTGTATTCTGCTCTGGTCAGACCTCACCTGGAGTACTGTGTCCAGTTCTGGGCACCACAGTTCAAGAAGGACACTGACAAACTGGAACGTGTCCAGAGGAGGGCAACCAAAATGGTCAAAGGCCTGGAAATGATGCCTTATGAGGAACGGCTAAGGGAGCTGGGCATGTTTAGCCTGGAGAAGAGGAGGTTAAGGGGTGATATGATAGCCATGTTCAAATATATAAAAGGATGTCACATAGAGGAGGGAGAAAGGCTGTTTTCTGCTGCTCCAGAGAAGCGGACACGGAGCAATGGATCCAAACTACAAGAAAGAAGATTCCACCTAAACATTAGGAAGAACTTCCTGACAGCAAGAGCTGTTCGACAGTGGAATTTGCTGCCAAGGAGTGTGGTGGAGTCTCCTTCTTTGGAGGTCTTTAAGCAGAGGCTTGACAACCATATGTCAGGAGTACTCTGATGGTGTTTCCTGCTTGGCAGGGGGTTGGACTCGATGGCCCTTGTGGTCTCTTCCAACTCTATGATTCTATGATTCTATGATTCTATGAATGGAGCAAACAGCACGCAGACCTAGTGGTGGGAGGAAAAAATCCTTAAATAAGAGACACGGGGGAATGATTAATGGACTTCAATGTCTGTACACTAATGCGCAAAGCATGGGAAATAAACAAGATGAGCTTGAGCTCTTGGTACAGCAAACTAAATATGACATAATAGGCATCACTGAAACCTGGTGGGATAAGTCCCACGATTGGAATGTAATAATGGAGGGATACAATCTATTTCAGAGAAACAGACCAGACAAGAAAGGAGGAGGAGTGGCGTTATATGTCAGGGATGTGTATACCTGTGAAGAGATGCAAGATTTAGAACCTCAAAGCCAAAGTGAGAGCATTTGGGTCAAAATTAAGGGAGAGAAGAATAACAGAGACCTCATTGTGGGAGTTTACTATAGATCCCCAAGCCAAACGGAGGACATAGATGATGCCTTCCTGGAACAGATGGCCAAGCATGCAAAAGGAAGGGAGATAGTAGTAATGGGGGACTTCAATTACCCGGATATTTGTTGGATGTCAAACTCAGCCAAGAGCATACGGATTCCTCACTGGCCTTGCAGACAACTTCATTGTCCAGAAAGTGGGAGAAGCAACAAGAGGAACAGCCATTTTAGATCTGGTCCTAACCAATGTTGATGACCTGGTTAGTGGGGTAGAAGTGGAAGGATCATTAGGCGCGAGTGATCATGCTCTTCTGAAGTTTACTATACAGCGGAAAGGAGCAGCCAAGCATACTAGGACTCAATTTCTTGACTTTAAGAAAGCCGACTTCATAAAACTTAGGGAAGTGCTGGGTGAGATCCCATGGACAGTAATACTAAAAGGAAAGGGAGTTCATGATGGCTGGGAGTTTGTTAAGAGGGAGATAGTAAAAGCACAACTTCAGGCAATACCAATGAGACGGAAACATGGAAGGTGCCTAAAGAAGCCAGGGTGGCTATCTAAAGAACTTTTAACTGAGTTAAGATTAAAAAAGGATGTGTACAAAAAATGGAAAAGGGGCAAACCACCAAAGAGGAATTCAAACAAATAGCCAGCACATGTAGACAGAAAGTCAGAAAAGCTAAAGCACAGAATGAACTCAGGCTTGCTAGAGAGGTTAAAAGCAACAAAAAAGGCTTTTATGGGTATGTCCGTATCAAAAGGAAGAACAAAGAAACAGTGGGGTCACTCAGAGGAGAAGATGGTGAAATGCAAACAGGGGACACAGAAAGGGCTGAACTCCTCAATGCCTTCTTTGCCCCAATCTTCTCCAATAAAGAAAACAATGCCCGACCTGAAGAATTTGGAGCAAATGATTCAGCAGAGGAAACACAGCCCAGAATAACTAGTTTAGATGTATTCAAGTCTCCAGGGCCAGATGAACTGCATCCAAGAGTATTAAAAGAACTGACAGATGTGATCTCAGAACCACTGGCAGTCATCTTTGAGAATACCTGGAGAACAGGTGATGTCCCGGCAGACTGGAGGAGGGCAAATGTTGTCCCTATTTTCAAAAAGGGGAAAAGAGAGGACCCAAATAATTATCACCTAGTCAGTCTGACATCAATACCAGGGAAGATTCTGGAGCAGATCATTAAGCAAACAGTCTGTGAGCACCTAGAAAGGAATGCTGTGATCACCAATAGTCAGCATGGATTTCTGAAAAATAAGTCATGTCAGACTAACCTGATCTCGTTTTTTGACAGAATTACAAGCCTGGTAGATGAAGGGAACGCAGTGGATGTAGCCTACCTTGATTTCAGCAAGGCATTCAACAAGGTGCCCCATGATATTCTTGTAGAGAAGCTGGTAAAATGCGGTCTTGACTATGCTACCACTCAGTGGATTTGTTACTGGCTGACTGACCGAACGAACCCAAAGGGTGCTCATCAATGGTTTCTCTTCATCCTGGAGAAGAGTGACTAGTGGGGTGCCACAGGGTTCTGTCTTGGGCCCGGTCTTATTCAATATCTTTATCAACGACTTGGATGATGGACTCAAGGGCATCCTTATCAAATTTGCAGATGACACCAAACTGGGAGGGGTGGCCAACACCCCAGAGGACAGGATCACACTTCAAACGACCTTGACAGATTAGAGAACTGGGCCAAAACAAACAAGATGAACTTTAACAGGGAGAAATGTAAAGTATTGCACTTGGGCAAAAAAAATGAGAGGCACAAATACAAGATGGGGGACACCTGGCTTGAGAGCAGTACATGTGAAAAGGATCTAGGAGTCTTGGTTGACCACAAACTTGACATGAGCCAACAGTGTGACGCGGCAGCTAAAAAAGCCAATGCAATTCTGGGCTGCATCAATAGGAGTATAGCATCTAGATCAAGGGAAGTAATAGTGCCACTGTATTCTGCTCTGGTCAGACCTTACCTGGAGTACCGTGTCCAGTTCTGGGCACCACAGTTCAAGAAGGACACTGACAAACTGGAACGTGTCCAGAGGAGGGCAACCGAAATGGTCAAAGGCCTGGAAACGATGCCTTATGAGGAACGGCTAAGGGAGCTGGGCATGTTTAGCCTGGAGAAGAGGAGGTTAAGGGGTGATATGATAGCCATGTTCAAATATATAAAAGGATGTTGTCAGGGCTGCCTCAGGTCCCAGCTCACAAGAGACCAACGCCAAGTCCAGTTTATATACAAAAATGTTTATTGAAGTTCATTGTACGCTCCACAGCCGAGGCGCGCAGCCCCACGTCTGTTACGCTTAGACCGCTGAAGTCCCCTCTGAGTCAGTCCCTCCTCTGCACCAGTTTAAGAGGGCTGTGCTGCTCCACCTCTTCCTTTCTTTCCTTTTCCGCAGGGTCTTCCTGCCCCCTGGGGTTTCGCCCCTCCTGGATTCCCCTGACGCGGAATCCCCAGACAGCTCTTCCCCCCTCCTGCGTGCTTTGGGACCTGGCTCCTCCTCCGGGCTCCCTGTTCTTCCGCGCGCCTCCACATTTGAACTTGGCGCGCGTTCGCAACCGCTAACCTTCCTCTTGACAGTTACACTACTCCCTGCACTACTCCCCTCCCCTTCCGGGAGGATGTCTTGTTCCGATCTCCCCTCCCTCTCTGCTTTCGGACCTGCTTCTCCTGTCACTCTGGAATCTCCACCCCCTTCACTGCGCTCTGGCGGAGAAGCCGGTCCCGACTCCCAGCTCCCACTTTGGGTTCCCCCGCTGGTCCTCTGCTCCTGACGAGTCCCCCCTGTGACTCCCCTTGGCCTGACCACAGGCGTCCCCTTCTGGGAATCCTCCGATTCACTTGAAAGACTCACGGAATCCCTCAAGTCATCGTCATCCTCTTCCTCGCTGCCCTGGGATTCTTCCCCCTCGCTCTCTGTCTCCTCCCTCACCTGTGCCTCTGTCCCTGAACCCCTGACAGATGTCATATAGAGGAGGGAGAAAGGTTGTTTTCTGCTGCTCCAGTGAAGCAGACACGGAGCAATGGATCCAAACTACAAGAAAGAAGATTCCACCTAAACATTAGGAAGAACTTCCTGACAGTAAGAGCTGTTTGACAGTGGAATTTGCTGCCAAGGAGTGTGGTGGAGTCTCCTTCTTTGGAGGTCTTTAAGCAGAGGCTTGACAACCATATGTCAGGAGTGCTCTGATGGTGTTTCCTGCTTGGCAGGGGGTTGGACTCGATGGCCCTTGTGGTCTATTCCAACTCTATGATTCTATGATTCTATAATTTGTAAATCACATTTGCACCCCCAACCCCCCACTCCGGTTTTAGCCTTATTCACTTATTTGGTCTTCTGTTCTTGCTCAAATACTATGTGATATCTGGCCACCCTACTACAAAGTAGTACTACAAAATCACACATTACAAAGATCACTAATTTTCTATACTGTGTATAGAGATTTATTTATTTGGAACATTTGTGCCTCGCTGTTCAGCCAACAAGGCCACCAGACAACTTAAATGCAATCAAAGCAAGATGGTCCCTACCCACAGGCAAAGGGGGCAGGGAGGGAAGAGGAATATCAAATCTCAGTCACAAATCACTAAACAGTTGTTCCTATGTTGACCAGCTGGCACAGTTCAGGGGCTGGAGGTGCCTGAAGGAGCTGGACCTCCAGCAAAGCTCTCCCACTGATGGCTGCCCCAGATAACAGTTGTGGGGAGAGGAGGCCTGAGGGAGCTGTCCTGTCACAGCAGAGCCAGTGGAGGGAGCTCTGCTTCACAGCTCTCACGGAAGTACTGTAGTTTGGATACTACGGGCTCCTCTGCAAAGCTGAAAGCAATTGCTCTGTGAAATAAATAAAAAATTCAGTGTGTAGAAATCCTTTCACTATGTGTCTGTTTTGTATTTAAAGCTTCACAGCCACCAAGTGCTAATCAGCTTGAAGCATGCTACAAGTCTTTCATAACATTATTGATATAAGTAAAGAAACAGCTCATGTGGGAAAAATAGACACAATGTTTCCTTAAGAATTAAAAATTCCAGCACTCTCCATATGCAGCAGAATGAGGTGGCCAAATGGACCATACTACCTCAAGCTACAGGTGAGGAATAACACTTCTATGCGTAAAAACCAAAGCCTAGCACATCATAGAGAAGGTACTTGTCAATTAAAAAAGCTAGCCTTTCCCCTGCTTTGCTGGCTTTCTAGTTGCAGGGAACTTTTAGTGTGTGAAAGCAATTTTCCATTGCTGCTCTTGCAGTTTATTTGACAGTTTCAGATGGCTTTGTGTTGTTGTAAACAAAATCTGCCCTTATTCCTTTATGTATTGGAGAACCTTGTAGGTTCTCCATCGGTAGGAGAAAATAACAGAGGCCAACCAGAGAATATTGAGAAGCAAAGCAGCTAGTAAGCCTGATCTTTATTAAACTGTTGCAACAGGGTGCTCCACCCACACGCAGGAGAGAGGAGGAGGACCGCAAACAATGTGTGCTTGCCATTTTGAAATTCCCTGCCCTGGAGCTCAAGACCACCCCCACAAACATCATACCTACATCACAGAAAAGGAAAATTTCTACAATAGAAATTTGAATGTTGTTTTTCCTGTCTGCCAGGTTATCTGATAATGCCTTGTCTGATTGCCTTTCCTGGTAGTCTGGCCATTCCTTTGAGATGGTAATTACCCAATTCCTGAGACAATGGGAAGCAAAGACAGACCACTGAATACATAACAGTGAAAATACATTATTCCTTTCTACTTGGGATAATCTTGCCATAAATGCCCAAAACTAGCCTGACTAAGGAGTGGTGGAGAGGTATACTTCTGAATATTCAATAATTTTATAACATTTGCAGTATCAGATTGAGGTCTGCTGCTTCACATCAACAAGCTGAAAGGATTTACTCCATGACTTTATACTTTCCTTAATGGTAAATATTAAGTAGGGTAGACAAATTGCAACATTGAGCTATTGTAGTTCCCATGCCAATATTGTAGTTCCCCATTTCAAATTCCTTCTTGCTCCCTGTCAGTGGAGGCTCGTCCTTAAGGGGGACTGGGGCACTGCTCCACCAAGCTCAATTGTTTCTTGGCTCTCCTCCAACAGCCTGCTTCTTTCTTACATCCTCTCTAGGGTTGGCATGAGCAGTGAGCTCCTTCCTCCTCAGTCTCAGGGCTGCCTTTGCAGAACTCAACAAGGGGGGAGGGGCATGCCCCACATGCCCCTGTCCAGGGGAGGAGAGGGGCAGGGAAGCTGCTGCTCAGGCTCCTTGAGTGCGCCAGGTCAGACGTGACCCGGAGGCGGAGCTGCTGCTGTGACTGGGAGCGAGGTGCACTGCAGCCACCCACCCTCCTGCTCTCTTCCCTGGGTCAGGCCTAACCTAAGGACAGAGCTGTGGCCAGCAGAAGCACAGCAGCTTAGGTCAGCTCCTTCTCACGTGGAGCCAGGCACCAATGAGGGAGCCTGCTGTGGGGGCACCTGTTTGTGCCCCCTGACACAACTTTGTGCCCCCACGGCCCACACATGCTACACTTCTGGGTGGGGACAAAACCAGAGTTACTGTAGTTGGCTTCATCCATGGGCGTAGCCAGGATTTTTGTTAGTGGAGGCAGGCCTTTTGTTAGGGGGTCAGAACCTCAGTTAGCTATGTATTTTTATTTAGTTGGCCCCCCTTGGCCACATCCATGGCTCCATCTATCGTAACATTTTGGAAATGCCCTGACTCACCCACCCCAACACTGATGTTGATTTTCTGAGATATCAGGCGCTCAAGCACAAGTCAAACATAAAGAATCGCTGCTGTTTCTTTTTGTGTAGCCTGTTTAGACTGGAAATTTGCCTCAGTTTTTTATTCTCTAAGGAAGGTTCTGTAAAGTGCAGGATAATGTAGTAGCTCACAGCATGGCAGGGTGATCCCAAGAAGCTCAGTTAGTTGGGGACATGGGCATAGCCAGGGGGTGAAGTGGCCACCCCTAAATCAAGTAAATAAATAAAAATACGGAGAGTCTGATATTCCAGATGCAATCACACTTCTTCCTTAGAGCAGCCTCCTATTCATTTATTTCTTGTTGAAAGATAAAGAAGTGTTTTTCAGAAACTAGCAACAACCTTATATATCAAGAAGACACATGTAGTTCATAGTAACTGTCTTTCAGGGCAGTTTGTCTAGGAACAAAAGCAAGTGTTGCTATGAACACTGACTAGTCACTAGAATAATAAGATGAAAGCTGGAGGTGGGGTTCGGGGTGGGGTTAGTCTTTCTTTAAACAAACATGTAAGTACTGTATGGATGCCAAGCAGAAGAAGACAAGCGTTTCTGTGGGGGAGGGAGTTTATTGACTGCTCAGATATAAGACTCACAACATCATTTTATAACCAAAGAAAGTGCCTTTATGTGACCATTAAATCAAATCAACTGGAATTACCGGTATATTCACAGAAAGCCTTTAGCAGAATCATTTCCTGTCCTCGGAATCCAACTGGAAGTGTTGGGCGAGCCGACTGCATAATCAAAAAGGCCAGTAAGTTACTGTGAGACAAACAGAGGAAGCTGTGTTCCTTTTCAAATCTGTCTGTCAACAGTCACACACACCAAGCAAAAGCCACCCATAACAGACGTTTTCCTTGATAAATGGGAGAACTGTCTGATAATCAACAACCATATAATTTTATCCAGTAGTATTAGTTTGATCTGACGGAAACTGCACATTTCCCGAGAAGCACTGAAAGAATGCTTCATTTAACTACAAACCCCCAAATCTGGGATCCCATCAAAACTAATGTTTGGTAAAAGTTTTGCAGCAAAACCCCCACATTTTGTAACACCCCATAAACAGAGTAATTGATACATCAAACCGGGGTTCATAATTAATATCCAAAACCCATCATTGTCCGGTTCACTCCAAACTGGTGCCAAAGTCTGGCAAAAGTTTTGTAGCATTTTGCCAGACATTGTAGAATTTTTTTAGCATTTTGCCCGACAAACCAAGTAAGTGACAGGGGTCATAAGGTCGCCCCCAAACCCAACATCGCCTGATTCACTCCAAATCAAGGCCAAAGTCTGGCAAAATGTTTGCAGTAAAAACCGCATGTTTTGCAGTGCCCCCCAAACGGAGTGGTTCCTAGCACATCAGGAGGAAGAGTCAAGACAACCAAAAGTGGATAAATAGGTTGTATTTATTAAATATAACAACTTGAGGATCGGCAAAACTAGTCAGATTCGACCAATGTAACCAAATCAAATTACCGGTAAGTCTGGGCAGGTGTGCTTGTTCACCTCCACCCACAAACACACAAGTGCTCAAACAGAGCTCTTTGCAGATCCTTAAGAACCCAACCCAAATCAGAAAGATGTCACAACCCAAATCAGAAAGATGCATACCACCAGGTCTATACAACTGTTGGGCACAGAACATAATTCTGCCATGAGGGATATAAGCACCCACATTTTCAAACACAAACATCGTTGTAGAATGATTAGCTTTGTGTCTTGCCCATCCACCTTCTTAGGAAGGCTGCCCCCACTCCATAAGCACCTCTACAACATTCCAAACCAAACTATGATAAGCTCAGGGATGAGGAAGCACAGCTGATGGAGATATTTAGTGATCTCAACTGAATTTACCTCACCAGATTGTTATCCCCAAGATGGATGACCAGAATATCAGGGTTAGGGTTAGGGCTAGGGCAGGGGATAGGTGGACGTTCAGGGTTAGGGTTAGTGCCTGGGGGTTTTTTTTCATGCTTTTTAAGCTTCTAATGATATTGCTTCATTTTTATGAGACTGGATAATTCCAAAAAGTAAGCAAACTACCTGAAACGTAGCAAAACTAAGAGAAACGTGAAAACCAAAAGTGAGATACCAAAAACCCAACAAGGAAGGAATTCATGAAAAAGGAAAATTGCCAGACAGAGACTTCAATCAAATCATTACCAAATTCACCAGAATCCCAAAACCAATTGAAAAGAAGCAGAAATGTGAGAAGCAGAAGAAATACCACCAGAAACCCCCAACAAGAGGGGAAAGTAAATTGCGCAGAAACCCCAAAGCCATTTAAACCTTAGTTTTGCATGGTGTGGGGTGATTTCGCTTTCCCCTGAGTTGTTTACTGCGTGGGTTTCTTGTGGTTCTATTCAATTGGTTTTCTCATCTTTTGTGGATGTGGTTTGTTTCTGTTGTTTCTTGTTTGTTTTTGGGATTATGTTGAATTTTTTCTGTGGTTTTCGTTTCATAGATTCTTTTATATAAATTACGATTGTGAAATATACTCAGAGTCTTGTATGTATTTCATGCTCTTTATTGCCCCCGCCCCCCAACCTCATGCTTTTATATACATTATTTACACAATGAGTACCGTCTGACTGGCTAACTCTGCTTCCCTCTTGGAGCCTGATTGGCCTGCAGGAAAAGACCAATCTGTTGTTGCATTCTAGGATCCAAGGTTAGTACATAACAGATTGGGTGCTGGATTGATGGTGAGTTTGCTTCCTTTCTAGGTTTTTTGGGTTTTGCACCTTTGAGAATATTAATTTGTATGAGATCTGATAATCCCAAGAATAAAAGCAAAACCACCAGAAATGACCATTCCAACAATGAAGTCAACCACTAAAAACACAAAAACCTACTGAAAAGAAGCAGAAGAACCATGTAAAAGCAACATCAGTGGAAACTGGCAAAGAAGCCAACTAAAATCCCAAACAAAGCAGATTCACCAGAAACCCCCAAAGCATTCAAAAGTATTACCACCAGAATGCAAAAACAAGAAAACTTCTCAAAAGAAGCAATAAAGCAAAAGTCCAAAAAACAAGCTAAACCAATGGAAAAGAAATGAAGCCAGCTGCAAACGAAGCACATTCACCAGAAACCCAAGACTAAGTGAAAACTAGTATGCTATGTTGGTTAATTTCTGTTGCTTGAAGTGCTTTTGGACTCCCATAAATTGCATGCTTGTTGAGTTTCTGGTTTTGCTTTTTAAAAACTGGTTTCCAGTTTCTTTTGGCCTTGCTTTGTAATTGGTGGCTTTACTGCTTCTTTTTTGTTTTCTGCTGGTTTGTTTAATTTGGGGTGGTTTTGCTTTTTTTTTTGCATTTAATTGTTTTGCTTCTTTTACTTTGAATGGTTCTGCGGTTTTGGGTGAGATTGTTTCTTTTCCATTGATTTGGCTTGGTTTTCATGTCTCCTGGTTTTGCCTCATTTTGGGAGTATTTCTTGGTTTTTGTGCTTCTGGTGGTATTTCTTCAATTTTATGACATAACCAAGCCAAAACACCAGAAACACAGAAACAAATCATAAAGAAGCAGAGGGTTACAGTGAGAGTTGGGTTTGAGTTGGATTAGGATTAGGAGTTAGAGTTGGGGTTGAGTTACGGTAAGAGAAGAACAGCAGAAGGAGAAATTTAATTTTATTACTTAGGGTTAGGGTTAAATTAGCAATATAATTTTATTATTTATACTCCACCCAAGTCACTAGTGGCCGCTTTCAATAAAAGGTAAAAACATGAGCGCACTCTAAGTGAATGCTCATGAATGTAGAAACTCTTACTTCCCATAGGATTCCCAAAGAAGACCTGGGAATTGTAGCTCTGAGCTTCTTTGCAGAGGGTTGGACTAGATGACCCTTGGGTTCCCCTTCCATCTCTACTAGGATGCTCCCTGTCTCACTCTCACTCACACACTCCTCCTCTCCTTTTCATGGCAGTTTCACCTTTTTCTGCACTCCTAGTTCGGAAGGGCGGAAGAGGCTGTGCTGCCGCCATGTTGGGCGAGGGCAGGGGTACCGGAAGGACGTGACACCGGAGGAGAGGCATGAGCACAGGAAGGGGATGGAAACGGGCGGAAGAGCTGTGCTGCCGCCATGTTGGGCGAGGGCAGGGGTACCGGAAGGAGGTGCCACCGGAGGAGAGGCAAGAGGACAGGAAGGGGAGGAGAAAGGGCGGAAGAGGCTGTGCTGCCGCCATGTTTGGCGAGGGTAGGATTACCGGAAGGAGGTGCCAGCGGAGGAGAGGCATGAGCACAGGAAGGGGAGGGGAAAGAGCGGAAGAGGCGCTGCGACGTTGCTCTCTCGACCCCGCTCTCCCCAGGGTGCAGCCCTGCCCCCCGCCCCGCCCTCACCTGCCTTTCTCCCCCAGTGGCCTTCCTCTCGTGCACCTTGGCGGAGGGATGGTGCGGGTGGGCCACGGAAGTTTATATACAAGAATATACATACCTAGATATAGGTGTCCGTTTGTAAATATATAAAAATAAAATGGATATATGTATATGTGTATATATGCAGTGCTTCTTTTCTAAAAAAAATGATTGGGGGTACTCTCATTTTGACTCAAGAAAATCACCATTTTATAGTTCAAACCGGGAAAAATAAATACAGTAAATGGACAAAAGTACATTCACAAAATGTTTTATGCATTCCTCTGCATAAAAAAGCACTGTATATGTTCCCCCCCAGAAAAAAGCACTGTATATGTTCTGCCAAGGGCAGGGTTATTTCTGGATCTGGAGCCAAAAAGAACGCCAGTGGATGAAGAATAAGCAATGCTTTATTTGCATAAGGTTAACAGATAGCAGCAGGCATACAAAAGACAAATTATAGCATTCCAGAGAGGAGTCGCACACAATCTCCCCTTCAGCTGCCCGGAGCTCCAGCGAGAGAGATGGCGTTTTGGGTTCCATCTGCATAAAAAGATGATAAAGCTCTGAGAGGGCTTATATCAAATTGGTGTTTTAGCGGTTAGAATGCACATTCACCAAAAATCGCAGTTAAATGTTTGTTATCAGCCCAAATCAATTATAGGTGTTTTGGTTCCATCTCAATCGAAAGAGCACAAAAAAGCTTTAATTCTTCTTTCCGTGTTCATTCACAAACAAATAGCAAAGCAAATAAGTCGAAACTAGGAAAAAGAGGATGTTTTGGGTTCCAACTACATAGAAAGAAGAATCTTGGATTTCGCTTATTTCAAGTTGTGTTCTTTGGTGTTAATGCAACATTAACCCAGAAATCGCAAAGTGTATGTCATGAGACCTAAATAACAAAGCACCGTCTTTTCTCTTCCATATGCGTAGAAAGAAGACGAATAAGCTTTGATTGGGCTTATTTCAATTCGCATGGTGTTTTATAGGTGTGCAACAGAATCACCCCTAACCAAATCAAAATGGCGTTTTGGGTTCCATCTGCATAAAAAGAAGATGATAAAGCTCTGAGTGAGCTTATATCAAATTGGTGTTTTGGCGGTTAGAATGCACATTCACCAAAAATCGCAGTTAAATGTTTGTTATCAGCCCAAATCAATTATAGGTGTTTTGGTTCCATCTCAATCGAAAGAGCACGAATAAGCTTTAATTGTTCTTTCCGTGTTCATTCACAAACAAATAGCAAAGCAAAAAAGTCTAAACTATTTAGGTCTCATTACATACACTTTGTTTATTTAGGTCTCTTTACATACACTTTGCGATTTCTGGGTTAATGTTGCATTAACACCAAAGAACACAACTTGAAATAAGCGAAATCCAAGATTCTTCTTTCTATGTAGTTGGAACCCAAACCAACCTGTTTTGCCTTGTTTAGGTTAATTACACTTCGCTTTGATATGTGGGTGAATGAACACCGAAAGAACAATCAAAGCTTATTCGTGCTCTTTCTTTTGAGATGGAACCAGAACACCTATTCTTAATTTGGGCTGATACCAAACATTTCACTCTGCGATTTTTGGGTGAATGTGCATTCTAACCCCAAAAACAACAATTGGAAATAAGCCCAATCAGAGCTTTAACATCTTCTTTTTATCCAGATGGAACCCAAAACAACCTGTTTTGCCTTGTTTAGACATTACACCGCTGTGCTATATGTGAGTGAATGAACAACGAAAGAAAAATCAAAGCTTATTCGTCATCTTTCTATTGAGATGGAACTAAAACACTTATGCTTAATTTGGGCTGATAACATACATTTCAGTTTCATTTTTGGGTGAACGTGCTTTCTAACCCCAAAAACAACTATTGGAAATAAGCCCAATCAGAGCTTTATCATCTTTTTATGCAGATGGAACCCAAAACGACATTTTGATTTGGTTAGGGAAGTAATAGTGCCACTGTATTCTGCTCTGGTCAGACCTCACCTGGAGTACTGTGTCCAGTTCTGGGCACCACAATTCAAGAAGGACACTGACAAACTGGAACGTGTCCAGAGGAGGGCAACCAAAATGATCAAAGGCCTGGAAACGATGCCTTATGAGGAACGGCTAAGGGAGCTGGGCATGTTTAGCCTGGAGAAGAGGAGGTTAAGGGGTGATATGATAGCCATGTTCAAATATATAAAGGGATGTCACATAGAGGAGGGAGAAAGGTTGTTTTCTGCTGCTCCAGAGAAGCGGACACGGAGCAATGGATCCAAACTACAAGAAAGAAGATTCCACCTAAACATTAGGAAGAACTTCCTGACAGTAAGAGCTGTTCGACAGTGGAATTTGCTGCCAAGGAGTGTGGTGGAGTCTCCTTCTTTGGAGGTCTTTAAGCAGAGGCTTGACAACCATATGTCAGGAGTGCTCTGATGGTGTTTCCTGCTTGGCAGGGGGTTGGACTCGATGGCCCTTGTGGTCTCTTCCAACTCTATGATTCTATGATTCTTTGATTCTGGTGCACACCTAAAAAATACCATGTGAATTGAAATAAGCCCAATCAAAGCTTATTCGTCTTCTTTCTACACATATGGAAGCGAAAAGCCGGTGTTTTGTTATTTTGGTCTCATTACATGCACTTTGCGATTTCTGGGTTGCAGTAACACTAAAGAACACAACTTGAAATAAGCGAAAGCCAAGATTCTTCTTTCTATGTAGTTGGAACCCAAAACATCCTCTTTTTCCTAGTTTAGACTTATTTGCTTTGCTATTTGTTTGTGAATGAACACGGAAAGAACAATTAAAGCTTATTCGTGCTCTTTCGATTGAGATGGAACCAAATCACCTATAATTGATTTGGGCTGATAACAAACATTTTACTGCGATTTTTGGTGAATGTGCATTCTAACCGCCAAAACACCAATTTGATATAAGCCCAATCAGAGCTTTATCTTCTTTTTATGCAGATGGAACCCAAAACGACATTTTGATTTGGTTAGGGGTGATTCTGGTGCACACCTATAAAACACCATGCGAATTGAAATAAGCCCAATCAAGGCTTATTCGTCTTCTTTCTACGCATATGGAAGAGAAAAGACGGTGCTTTGTTATTTAGGTCTCATTACATACTTTGCGATTTCTGGGTTAATGTTGCATTAACACCAAAGAACACAACTTGAAATAAGCGAAATCCAAGATTCTTCTTTCTAAGTAGATGGAACCCAAAACAACCTGTTTTGCTTTGTTTAGGTTTATTACACCTCGCTTTGATATGTGGGTGAATGAACACCGAAAGAATAATCAACGCTTATTTGAGCTATTTCTTTTGAGATGGAACCAAAACACCTATGCTTAATATGGGCTGATAACAAACATTTCACTCTGCGAATTTTGGGTGAATGTGCATTCTAACCCCAAAAACAACAATTGGAAATAAGCCCAATCAGAGCTTTGTCATCTTCTTTTTATGCAGATGGAACCCAAAACGCCATTTTGATTTGGTTAGGGATGATTCTGGTGCACACCTAAAAAACACCATGCGAATTGAAATAAGCCCAATCAAAGCTTATTCATCTTCTTTCTACACATATGGAAGAGAAAAGCCGGTGTTTTGTTATTTTGGTGTCATTACATACACTTTGCGATTTCTGGGTCAATGTTGCATTAACACTAAAGAACACAACTTGAAATAAGCGAAAGCCAAGATTCTTCTTTCTATGTAGTTGGAACCAAAAACAACCTGTTTTGCCTTGTTTAGGTTAATTACACTTCGGTTGATATGTGGGTGAATGAACACCGAAAGAACAATCAAAGCTTATTCGTGCTCTTTCTTTTGAGATGGAACCAGAACACCTATTCTTAATTTGGGCTGATAACAAACATTTCACTCTGCGATTTTTGGGTGAATGTACATTCTAACCCGAAAAACAACAATTGGAAATAAGCCCACTCAGAGCTTTATCATCTTCTTTTTATGCAGATGGAACCCAAAACGACATTTTGATTTGGTTAGGGGTGATTCTGGTGCACACCTAAAAAACACCATGTGAATTGAAATAAGCTCAATCAAAGCTTATTCGTCTTCTTTCTACGCATATGGAAGAGAAAAGACAATGCTTTGTTATTTAGGTGTGCTTACATACACTTTGCGATTTCTGGATTAATGTTGAATTAACGCTAAATAACACAACTTGAAATAAGCGAAATCCAAGATTCTTCTTTCTATGTAGTTGGAACCCAAAACAACCTGCTTTGCTTTGTTTAGGTTTATTACACCTCGCTTTGATATGTGGGTGAATGAACACCGAAAGAATAATCAACGCTTATTCGGGCTATTTCTTTTGAGATGGAACCAAAACACCTATGCTTAATTTGGGCTGATAACAAACATTTCACTCTGCGATTTTTGGGTGAATGTGCATTCTAACCCCAAAAACAACAATTGGAAACAAGCCCAATCAGAGCTTTGTCATCTTCTTTTTATGCAGATGGAACCCAAAACAACCTGTTTTGCCTTGTTTAGACATTACACATCGCTGTTCTATATGTGAGTGAATGAACAAAAAAAGAAGAATCAAAGCTTATTCGTCATCTTTCTATTGAGATGGAACTAAAACACTTATGCTCAAGTTGGTCTGATAGCATACATTTCAGTTTGATTTTGGGTGAATGTGCTTTCTAACCCCAAAAACAACAATTGGAAATAAGCCCAATCAG